TTTCTGGATTCCCATCACAGATTTAGAGAATTTGTAGCAGCTTTAAGGAACACAGACATTCATTTCTTCATATATTCATTAAGCAGACATCTCCTGGGACACTGTTGTGTTACATTCTGTGCAGGAAAACTGGTCACGTAGGAGTGAGTTAGACTCAGTCCCTGCCCTTCACAGACTGACATGGAAAACCCACAACTTGATGACAGAACCATGCTTCTAGAAGCTGAGGTGCTGGTGGAACACAAAAGAGGCAACACATTTTTTCCTAATGGGTGCTGGAAAGCTTTTTGGAAATGGGAACTTCTCAGATAGTATGTGAGGGAGGAGTAATTAATCCAGAGAAGGAGAGGGAAGAGAAAGAGGGTAGAGAGCACCCCAAATGAGAGAGAACTCAGTATACTCAGAACGCTTGAGGTAATGATGAGTGGCTGTACCTGCAGACAAAAGGAAAAAACTGAAGAAGACCGTGATGGAGTGATCAGCTGGGCCTTATATGTTAAATTACCATGGACGTGCTCCACACTGGGTTCACAGATACAAGAGACACCCAGGAGAGTTCAGAGAAAGTAATTTAATGTGGCTGGATTAAAGAAAAAAGTAGGAGGGATGTGAGAAATGTATTGAAAGAGGCCCAGACAACTCGCCTGACACACAACCATTAAGTGTTGAACACCTGCTGAAGAAGTAATCAGATCCTGGGGGAAGTTGGATTTCATGTTGTGGGTATTAGGAAGCTCAAGAAGAGTTCTGAGCAGAAAATTAATATTCTCTGGTCTGGTTATAGACAAAAGCTTATCTAGAGCTAATGAGGTGGGCAGGGGTCTCAGAGAGATGCTGATGCAATGGTCCAGGTGAGAGGAGAATTGTTCTCACTGAGAGCATGGGATACTGAGGAAGAGAGCAGAAAATGGGCTAGAGAGAGACTACCATGGTACAAGGATTGGTATTTGATGACTAAATCTTTATGGGACAGGAGAAAGACAAAGACACAAAAGTGACTCTTTTATCTAAGTTCTAGATGACTGGTTATGACAAACCTATTGTCCAGATTGGGATACCCCAGAGGCAGTAAAGAACTGGGGACAGGAAAGATTGGGTATGAGTTTTATTGTGGACATTGTGAGTAGGAGTGTCCTGTAGAATATTCCTTAAGGAAAGAGTCAAAGAGCAGTTTGACTTAGCTGGAAATGAATCTAAAAGCATAATCAGTGGAGAAGAGAAAAAGGAAAGTCCAAGGGATGGGGAAAAGACAGAAAAAAAGCGAGTCTGGGTAAGTCTGAGATTACTCTTACCCAAGCATTTGTGGTGGACACCTAGCTCTTCTAATCATTACCTTTGAATATTCAACACCTGTGCATACCTTGATATGTCTGGGGAAGTTTGCACCTCGAGTCCTTACCTTTAAAGGTGAAAGTAGAAGCTCAGCTTCCTAGACTTTCTTACAGAAAATGTGCAGATTAGTGACCTAGACTCTATTAATCAGAATGCACCCATATAAGACATTAATTTGAAGATTAGTGTCCATAAACAGAAGAATCGATTAAGAAAATGTGTACATGTACACAGTGGAATACTACTCAGCCTAAAATGAAGGAAATCCTGTCACGTGTGACAACATGAATGAACCTGGAGGAAGTTATGTTATGTGAAATATGCCAGACTCAGAAAGACTAATACTAGAAGATCTCAGTCGTATGTGGAATGTAAAAAAGTTGATCTTATAGATGTAGAATGCTGGTTACCCGAGTTTGGGGGTGTTGGGGGTGTTGGGGTGTTGGGGAGATTTTGGTTAAAAGACACATATTTGCAGTTAGATAGGAGAAATAAGCTCAAGAGATCTATTGTACAGTATGGTGACTGTAGTCAATGACCACATATTGTATTCTTGAAAAATGCTGAGAGTGGATGTTAAGTATTCTCATCACACACACAAAAGAAGGTAGCTCTGGGAGGTAACGCATTTATTAATTAGCTAGGTTTAACCATTCCTCAATGTGTATATGCTTTGAAACATCATGTTTTACACAATTAATACATACGATCTTATATGTATGTACTGAAAATAAATAAATTTGAAAGAAGTTAGTGACATGGAGAATTAAACATCATGCAGAATCCTTTATGACAAAGGTATCGGTACATAAAGTTTTCAAGTGCAGTGGTGGCAGAGTCTAGTTGAGACATCCGGGGCTGTGTGCCAGCCATGCGACCTGTGCTGACTGAGATGGCACTGAGCATTGATGGAGAGAACATCAGTGTCTTAGCCCAGTGCTGGCAGCATTAACACCCCCAAGAGCAGTTCTGTGTCTGATTGCGGTTCCTCCTTAAAGAGCCTTCCTTACATCTGAGTCTCTGGTCCTCCAGAGATACTAGTAGTTCCCCCAAATCCTTTCAAAAGCTCATTTCCCATATCAAAATCATGAAGAGATATCACCTCATATGCATTAGGGTGGCCACTATAAAAAGAACAGACGGTAACAACTGTGGGTAAGATGCGGAGAAATTAGAACCTTTGTACTGTGGGTGAGGATGTAAAATGGTGCAGCCATTATGGAAAACAGTATGGAAGTTCATCAAAAATTAAAATGGGATTGCCATATGATCTAACAATCCCACTCCTGTGTACGTATCCAGAAGAATTCAAAGCAGGATCTAAAGAAGAAATTTCACACCCATGCTCATCCCAGCATTATTCACAATAGCCAAAAGGTGGATGCCACCCAGATGTCATGAACAAATGAAAGCACAAAGAATATGTGGTATATACATGCAATGGAATATTATATAGCCTTTAGAAAGAAGAAAATCTTTTAGATCCATGTACTGGCCAGCAACCAAATAAATAGAAAGATAAATAAATAAAAATCCCGTTTTATTCTCCAATAAGGATAAAGCCGGAGGACATTATGCCAAGTGAAATAAGCCTGTTACAAAAGGACAAATAGTCTGGGATTCCACTTACATGATGCGTCTAAAGTAGTAAAATCATAGAATCAGAAAGTAGGGGGCCGGCCCGGTGGCGCACTGGATAGTGTGCTGCTTGGGAAGCGCAGTGGCGCTCCCGTCCGAGGGTTCAGATCCCACGTGCAGACCGGTTCCCACTCACTGGCTGAGCGAGGCGTGGGAGCAACGCTGAGGCTTGCGATCCGTTGCTGGTCCCCGGTCTGGTGCGGGGGTAGCACTGAGGGTTGCGATCCATTGCCGGACACGGAAAAAAAGACAAAAGATAAA